CAGCACTTTGGGAGGCCGAGGCGGGTGGATCACGAGGTCAAGAGATCGAGACCATCCTGGTCAACATGGTGAAACCCTGTCTCTACTAAAAATACAAAAAATTAGCTGGGCATGATGGCGCATGCCTGTAATCCCAGCTACTCAGGAGGCTGAGGCAGGAGAATTGCCTGAACCCAGGAGGCGGAGGTTGCAGTGAGCCGAGATCGTGCCATTGCACTCCAGCCTGGGTAACAAGAGCAAAACTCCGTTTCAAAAAAAAAAATTAGCTGGGCATGGTGGCGCATGCCTGTAATCCCAGCTACTCAGGAGACTGAGGCAGGAAAATTGCCTGAACCCAGGAGGCGGAGGTTGCGGTGAGCGGAGATCGCGCCATTGCACTCCAGCCTGGGTAACAAGAGCGAAACTCCGTCTCAAAACAAACAAACAAACAAACAAAAAGCTGAGGCCATGCACAAGGCTCACACCTATAATCCAGCACTTTGGGAGGCTGAGGTGGGTGGATTGCCCGAGCTCAGTAGTTTGAGATCAGCCTGGGCAACATGGTGAAACCCCATCTCTACCAAAAATACGAAAAATCAGCCAGGGGTGTTGGTGCACTCTATGCCGGGACTAAGGCAGGAGGATAGTTTGAGCCTGGGAGGCAGAGTTTGCAGTGAGCTGAGATTGTGCCACTGCATTCCAATGTGGGTGACAGAGACCCCATCTCAAAAATAAAAATAAAATAAATAAAGTTGGGAAGACAAAGAAATCCTGGAGAGGAATTGGACTTCAGTCAGGATGTGGAGTGGAAAAAAGCCTGAAGCTTTTTAATATTTTATTTTGGTTATTTATTTATTTATTTAGAGACAGGGTCTCAGTTGGTCACTGTGGCTGGAGTCCAGTGGTGCAGTCATGGCTCACAGCAGCCTTGATCTCCTGGGCTCAGGTGATACTCCCACCTCAGTATCCCAAGCAACTGGGACTACAGGTGCATGCCACCATGCCTGGCTAATTTTTGTGTATGTTTTGTAGAGATGGGGTTTTGCCATGTTGCCCAGGCTAGTCTTGAACTTCTAGGATCAGGCAATCTGCTCACCTTGGCCTCCCAAAGTGCTAGGATTACAGGTGTGAGTCACCTTGCCTGTCCTGGAGTGGAGGTTTGGGTCAATCCTAGACCTCTAGAGGCAAGGAGACCCCAGCTGACACATAGTTGCAAGTTTTCTTTTTTGTTTGTTTGTTTTTTTGAGAGGGAGTCTTGCTCTGTCACCCAGGCTGGAGTGCAGTGGTGTGATCTCGACTCACTGCAACCTCTACCTCCTGGGTTCAAGCAATTCTCCTGCCTCAGCCACCTGAGTAACTGGGACTATAGGTGTGTGGCACCACAGCCAGCTAATTTTTTGTATTTTTAGTAGAGACAAGGTTTCACCAGACATATTAGTAGAGACAGGGTTTCACCAGATATGTTAGCCAGGATGGTCTCGATCTCCTGACTTCGTGATTTGCCCACCTCAGCCTCCCAATGTGCTGGGATTACAGGCGTGAGCCACCGCACCCGGCCGGCATGTCCTTGTGCTATCACTGTTCTTTGGCCAGCCATGGATCTCTTTACTCTCCCATGTCTTGCCTACATGCCCTCCTAATCCAGCTTTGAGTCTATGGCTTGGCATTTAATAGCACTCTCGCCAGTAACCTAAATGTCATTGCTCACCTTCCCTGCAAACCCCTGAACACGTATAATCGTCGTTTCTCTTCCAGCCTTCATCAGAACAGTCAAGGGAGGCAGGAGAAGGAGGGGCGATGAGAATACTGGCAAATACTTCTGCAGCACATACTAGGTGCCAAGCACTAAGTGCTTCACGGAGGGTAACTCGTTTAATCCTCCCACACCATGAGGTAAGTACTGTTATTAACATCCCCATTTGTGTATAAAGAAAATTGGGTGAACAGAGGTTAAGTCACTCAGAAAACCCAAAGCACACAGCTAATTAAGATGAGCAGCCATGATGGAACCTGCGCTGTCTGCAGGTCCCGGTCCACCAGGAGAGGATGAGGCCACGGAGGACTCGGCTTCTTCCGCCTTGGGTCCATCATTGCTCTCAGCCACCAGGGGCACAGACCAAAAGAAGCCCAGACCCTCACTGCTCTTGGGGCTGACAGTATCACTCCAGAGGTTAACAATAACAATAGTAATAATAAAACCAACTTCAGGCTTTAAGATGTGTGTCCTAAGCACTTCACATGCATTTATTTATTCCCTTAGTCTTTCCAACAACGCTATGAGGTAGAAGCTACCTTTTTATCTCCCTTTTCCTGAGGGATGTGAAGGGATGTAGCGAGCCTAAATTCTACAACAGAGGAGCTGGGCGCGGTGGCTCACGCCTGTAATCCCAGCACTTTGGGAGGCTGAGGCAGGTGGATCACAAGGTCAATAGATTGAGACCATCCTGGTCAACATGGTGAAACCCCGTCTCTACTAAAAATACAAAAAATTAGCTGGGCATGGTGGCGTGTGCCTGTAATCCCAGCTACTCAGGAGGCTGAGGCAGGAGAATTGCCTGAACCCAGGAGGCGGAGGTTGCAGTGAGCCGAGATCGCACATTGCACTCCAGCCTGGGTAATAAGAGCGAAACTCCGTCTCAAAAAAAAAAAAAAAAAAAAATCTACAATAGAGAGTGGTGGATCAGATGGGAAGTGTGGCCGCTGGATGCCAGAGCCTGGCTCTTAACCCAGACTCTTTGCCTACCTTTGCTCTGCGGGAAGTCTCTGGCCTGCTCCTTCTGCGTGAGGGGAGGAGCCTCTTCTGTCTTGCAGTTCCCCACCCAGGCCCAATCCACAGCTCCAGAGCCCTGCGGTGGCAGCCCCCTGTCCCCTCCCCACCGAGGCATGCAGGCGGCCCACGGACTGCTTAGGTAGGGTGGGGACAGGAACTCCATCTAGAACTCCCCAGGACCAGACCAGCCCCAACAGCCTCTGCTCTCAGAGGCCTGGATCCCCAACCAGCTCCCTGTAGACGGGGCCTGAGCTGGTCCTCCTCAGGCCTCGCCTGCCTCTCCCTGTGCAGCGCAGGCTCCCTGCTCCTGGAGGGTGGGGCTGAGTCCGGGATGGATGGGGCTCAATGCCCAGGGCTGCGGCAGAAAGCACCAAGGCTTCCCTAGCCCCCTCCTCACACCCACCAAGCCTCCCAGCCCTATCCCAGGTGGGGCCCTACTCCTCCCCATTCCCAGGAGTTAGGGGCGGCCAAGCTCTCATTTACGCGTACTGTCCCATCTCTCCCTCCCTCCCGCTTCCCACTCCCCTGGCAACCATACCAGACCCATCGAGGAGAAGGAACTGGCAGCTGTGCAGGGAGAGACTAATGGCCCGGAAGGAAGGAGGGGCCTGGAGAGGAGATGAAGGCGGTAGGGACGCGAGCAGGGCGTTGGCCCTGGCCCTTCTCAGAGGACAGACAAAGGGGGGAGGGGGCCGCTGCCCTGAAATACTGAGAAGCTGGCCAGCCAGGGAGCAGCCCTCCTCACCCCCAGCCAGAGATCCAGCCTGGAGCCTCAAACCTGCTTCCCAGACACGCTGTCTTGTCCTGAGGTCCTATCTGAGGCAGACCCTCTCTAGGAGAGTGCTGGAGTCCCCGGAGCAGCAGCAGCCCAAGCCCTATGGTTCCTGGCAAACCCAGCAGACCTCCGCAACCCGGCTCCTGCAGACCATCTGAGCTGCCTCTGTCTACTCCTGGGCAGCCTGTGCTTGCATTCTGGAAGCTGTTTGACATACAAAGGCCAGATATCAGCCTTCCCGCTAACTCTGGGGTAGGGGAGGGTATGATGAAGTGTGTGATTGTGTATTTGTGTATATGCAATGTGTGTACATAGGTATACAAGGCTATGTGTATGCATCTGTTTGTGTGCACAGGTTTGTGGACCTGTTCTGGAGCCTTCTCTCTCTTTCAGACTGCTGGGGTGGGCACATTCTCTTTCCGCATCTCTTCCCCATCCAGCCCCACCCATCCCTGGTACCTGCAACTCATCAATACTGGAAACTAGCTCCTGCCAGTCCATCCATCTCTCAGCCTTGGCAGCAGCTGTCACCCCTCAGCCCCCTCCCCTTCCCACCTCAGGAATCACTCTGGTTCCCGTAAAGCCCATGACTGATCAGCAGTTGGTGTGGGGTTGGGGGGAGGGAGAATCCAGTAAATCTGGACCGAGTACAAGAGGCCCACTCAGCCCAGCCTCTGGCATGGGGCAGACCCTCCCAAGTGGGATCCAGAGCTGGGTCCAGCCACCCTCAGCCCCCTATGATGTACCCACCTCATTGGGGCTCGTCGAGGGGTAGGTCTAGGTTTGGGGGCTGTGTCTTTAAGGCTGAAACATCAGCAGACAACCTCTGCTGGGCCGTGTTCAGGAGAGGGGGAGGGGGCTGGTCAGTCCATTAGCAACAGAGCTGGCGCCAGGCACCAGCCCTTCACAGGGCCCTGGGGATTAGGGAGAGTAGCTCTTTCCCAGCCCACCCTGCCTCTGAGCTCCTGCCTCCTAGTCCTCTCTGGGTGTGGTAAAGGAGAGATAGCTGACAGCAGGTGAAAATAGAGGCTGGCTTTCAAGGGGCAAGTCAAGGCACCAGCTATGGTGCCTAAGCCAGGGCAGCTCTCCCTCCAGCTGGCCTCCCTACTCCTGTGCCAGAAGCTTGCCCTTTCACTTCCGGTCCTTCCAGGGGAGGGCCTGATTTGAACTAGGGTCCAGGCAATTTCCAGGGACCCTAGTTCAAATCAGGCCCTCCCACCCTAGGTTCTAGCTTTGGGTGCTTGTTGGGAGGTAGTGACCCCCACCCCAGCGGCAACAGGGGGCACTCAAGTGGGCAGAGGCCTGCGACCAGGGAAGGGAGGGGAAGGCGCTCCTGCTGTTCCGCAGGGGTGGGGCATCCCCCTCCCCACACAACCCCCCTCCAGCGGGCCATCAGGCCAGTGGGAGGAGCTGTCCGTGCCCCCCCAGAGACCGCAGGGCTATAAAGCCGCCTCGAAGCGGTCTGCGGTCCTTCCCAGCCCCCGGCCTAGCTCTGCGAACGGTGACTGCCCATCCTCGGCCGAAATGAGCCACCACCCGGCGGGCCTCCGGGCCGGCTTCAGCTCCACCTCATACCGCCGCACCTTCGGGCCACCGCCCTCACTATCCCCCGGGGCCTTCTCCTACTCGTCCAGCTCCCGCTTCTCCAGCAGCCGCCTGCTGGGCTCCGCGTCCCCAAGCTCCTCGGTGCGCCTGGGCAGCTTCCGTGGCCCCCGGGCGGGAGCGGGTGCCCTCCTTCGCCTGCCCTCGGAGCGCCTCGACTTCTCCATGGCGGAGGCCCTCAACCAGGAGTTCCTGGCCACGCGCAGCAACGAGAAGCAGGAGCTGCAGGAGCTCAATGACCGCTTCGCCAACTTCATTGAGAAGGTGCGTTTTCTGGAGCAGCAGAACGCGGCCCTGCGCGGGGAGCTGAGCCAAGCCCGGGGCCAGGAGCCGGCGCGCGCGGACCAGTTGTGCCAGCAGGAGCTGCGCGAGCTGCGGCGAGAGCTCGAGCTGTTGGGCCGAGAGCGTGACCGGGTGCAGGTGGAGCGCGACGGGCTGGCGGAGGACCTGGCGGCGCTCAAGCAGAGGTCAGGGGGCAGGGCTGGGCCCGCGGCCGTCGAGGGGGCTGCTCTTCTCTCCCCTCTTCCCCTCTCCGTCAGCAGCCCAAGAGTGTGGATCCCCTTCCCTACCAATCCAGGTGTGTGCGGGCAGCATCCTTACTCGTGGGCTTTAAGTGGCCCCCGCCTCCCACTTTGCTCTGAGTGTCTGGGGAGGTGGAAGAAGTGGGTATCTATGCTTCCCCTTAGTAATGAGAGAACCTCCTTTCAGCTCCCAGCCCGTTAGAGAGAAAGTGGCGCAATTCCATCAAGCAGCCTCAGCCCTCCATTTAGAGGCCTGGGCAGCAGCAACAGCCTCTGACCGGATCCCGGGAGGGGGTGGGGCGCAGTCTGGGGTGCGAGCTGGGCTGCTACCCCGCAGTTCAGCCTCTGCACACGCTTCCCGTCAGGTTGGAGGAGGAGACACGCAAGCGGGAGGACGCGGAGCACAACCTCGTGCTCTTCCGTAAGGTGAGCCCCAACCCCACTTCGAGTTCAGCCTCCCCACCCCTACCCGCTGACCTCAGTATCCAGAGGTGACATCAGTGGGCGCGGGGAGAGGAGGGCAACCAGACGCCTCCCGAGGCAGGCAGGGAAGGCCTGGTTCTTCCTCGGCCTGCACAGCCCCTAACTTATTTTGAACCTCCACTGCCACCCCTCGAAGGATGTGGACGACGCCACTTTGTCCCGCTTGGAACTAGAGCGCAAAATTGAGTCTCTGATGGATGAGATTGAGTTCCTCAAGAAGCTGCACGAGGAGGTAGGTGGTCCCGGTATCAGGGGAGGCTTCCGAGGCTGCGGGGTGGTCTCGCTGGAGCTGGCGGGCGGAGCGGAGGCATCGCCCAGGGGATGTGTGAGGTTCGCTGCGTAGACGCAGTCTCTCCACCCCAGTCTACAGGTGGTTAGACTCCCACCCTTGCGCCACCTGGCGGCGGGCTGCAGGGCTGTACCTCCGAAATGGGGCCTCGTGTCTTGTGCCCGCGGGGGCGCAGGGCTGTGCCCCCGCCCTCCCTGGCGCCTCCTTCTGTTCGTTCAAGCGTTTCTTCTCTTTTCTGCGCGCGAACTGCGTGGCCCGCGTGGATTTGTCCCACTGTCTATCCTCTGCCTGCTCACGGCCGTAGGAGCTGCGAGACCTGCAGGTGAGCGTGGAGAGCCAGCAGGTGCAGCAGGTGGAGGTGGAAGCCACCGTGAAGCCGGAGCTGACGGCAGCGCTGAGGGACATCCGCGCGCAGTACGAGAGCATCGCCGCGAAGAACCTGCAGGAGGCGGAGGAGTGGTACAAGTCCAAGGTGAGAGCGCCGGGAGGGCCTGCGAGGCGGGGCGATGGGGTGGTGTCACGCGTCCCAGCCGGCTCAAGCCTGGGTTACCCCACTTCGCAGTACGCGGACCTGTCCGACGCTGCCAACCGGAACCACGAGGCCCTGCGCCAGGCCAAGCAGGAGATGAACGAGTCCCGACGCCAGATCCAGAGTCTAACATGCGAGGTGGACGGGCTGCGCGGCACGGTGAGTACGAAGCTGCGCGCCTGGGCCCGGGGAGTGGACGATGAAACGTTCCTCAACTGGCCCCTTCCATTCCCCTACCCCAGAACGAGGCCCTGCTCAGGCAGTTGAGGGAGCTGGAGGAGCAGTTCGCCCTGGAGGCGGGGGGCTACCAGGCGGGCGCTGCGCGGCTCGAGGAGGAGCTGCGACAGCTAAAGGAGGAGATGGCGCGGCACCTGCGGGAGTACCAGGAGCTCCTCAACGTCAAGATGGCCCTGGACATCGAGATCGCTACCTACCGCAAGCTGCTTGAGGGCGAGGAGAGCCGGTGAGGGCGGGGCTGCTAGGGCGGGGCAGGGAGGGGCAAGGACTGGGCGGGGAAGGGCGGGTCCTGGGCAGGGGCGCTGACAGCTTGCTTCGCCTGCAGGATCTCCGTGCCCGTCCATTCTTTTGCCTCTTTAAGTATAAAAACGACTGGTGAGTCCTCCACGTCTGGTTTGCAGCCTGTACCTCTCCCTGTCCACTTCTGCCCTCCTCGGGCTCCTGCTGTGGCTCACCTCAGGGATCTGTTCTCTCCACGGAACTTCTGGGTCCTGGCCTGCACCCGCCCCTACTCCTTGCACCCCGCCCCTCCCCTGCCCTCAGGGATGGGAGTGGGAGCCTAAGAGGAGAGATTCCCAAGCTTTCTCCCTTGAACCCCTCTTCCTACTTTCTCCAGTGCCTGAGGTGGAGCCTCCCCAAGACAGCCACAGCCGGAAGACGGTTCTGATCAAGACCATTGAGACCCGGGATGGGGAGGTGATGCAGGTCCCCTAATCCCAGGACTCCATCATTTCCCATATTGTTTCTGAGCCCCAGCCTGGCTGCCCCGATCTTACTTGGGGTGGGTAGTTCTTGGGGAGAGACAGAGGAGGAGGCGGAGAAGGTGGATGGATAGACAGGCGCCTTTGCTGGTTACCCCAGGGAGTGGGGCTCTATGATCCGAAGGAGGAGGATGGAGGGTGGCGCTGAATGGCTTGTGCCGATCATGTGCCCTGTCCTCAGCAGGTGGTGACAGAGTCCCAGAAGGAGCAGCGCAGTGAGCTGGACAAGTCTTCTGCCCACAGTTACTGAACCCCTTGGTCCAGGGCCTTGACTCTGCCCTAGGCCTATGCTAAGCCCAAACCCTAAGACCACTCCTGAATCAGTCTCCTCTCCCTCTGCATGTGTCTAAAAGGTAGTATCAGGCATCCCTCTCCTGGCTCATGGCCAAGCCCTACCCGACCAGCAGTTGCTGGGCCTCTCCCTTCCCTGACACTTGATGTGACGTATGTGCTTTCCCTTTCATGTCCCGATAAGAAGTCAATGACTTCCTTTAGAACAAATCTACTCCAGCCACGATCCCATGAGAAGTGGGTGAGCCAGGGTCTGAGTTTCATGTTTGAATTGAATAAAATGCTGTCAAGAGAAATCTGTAACTCTCCAGCGCATTTGTGTCTGTGGACGTGTGTGTGGGGTGCCTGAGGGGAGGAGCCTTGGTGGTGTTCTCCCTTTGTCTCAAGTCATTTTTCTGGCTCTCACTCTTTTGGCATCAGTATACTTTTCTGGGTTTTCTACCTCTATCCATTCATTCTCAGCTTTTGTTCCTCACCTGCAGCCTGGGATGCCCAGCCATCTGCTGGGTGCCTTATAGGCCACTCAAACTCAATCTCAGGAATTCTCCTCCTACCTCAGCCTACTGAGTAGCTGGGACTACAGGTGAATGACACCACACCTGGCTAATTTTTGTATTTTTTTGTACGGGGTTTTGCCATGTTGTCCAGGCCAGTCTCAAACTCCTGGGCTTAATTGATCCTCCCACCTGGGCCTCCCAAAGTGCTGAAATTACAGGCATGAGCCACCATGACTTGCCTAAAATTCACTTTTTGTCTTTGATTATGGCTAAACAAAAAAAAAAAAAAAAAAAAAAAAAAAAGAAGGAGACCAGAAATGAACATGTTTAATGCTGGAGAGAATGTTAAACAATCAAGTTGTCATGAGTGATACTGGAAATAGATGCTTGGTACTGCAAAGAAAAATGAGCACTTAGACAAAGGGTCTTTCAGCAATGCAATTTTTACTTCTTCGACTGCAAGAAGGGTACTCTCCCTAGCCATTTTGCCACAAGAGTACAATGAACAAAGGAAAACATACAAATGTATCCCTTACGCCTTTGGGGTGGTCCTTACTGCTGTGTCTGATCTCCATTGCCTGGAGCCAGACCTCACAATCTAAACTAAAACCCGATTGACTAACAACTTAAAACTTTTCTAAACAGGTAAAAACAAGGGAGAGCTGGGACATGCCTGTGAGCACATCCAGCACAGCACAGATATTTTGCTCAAAGTACAAGTAGAATGTACTACAGGCCAGTAAGCATGGCATGTCTAATAGCTACATATGATAGGGCTTAATACAGTTATTAGCACACTTATTCTTTAACAGGAAAGGAAACTTTAAAAAGGAAGTTTTCTACTTCCCACAGGTGAGCCCAGCCATCTGTTAAAATGATATAACCTCAGACTTGGATGTGATTGAAAAAGTTTAGGAAAACTAAAAATCCAATTTCAATCAAAGTGATCTGATTTTATTTTATTTATTATTATTTATTTATTTATTTTTGAGACAGAGTGTTGCTCTGTTGCCCAGGCTGGAGTGCAGTGGCATGATCTTGGCTCACTGCAACCTCCGCTTCCCAGGTTCAGGCAATTCTTGTGCCTCAGCCTCCCAAGTAGCTGGGACTACAGGTGTGTGCCACCATGCCTGGCTAATTTTTGTATTTTTAGTAGAGACAGGGTTTCACCATGTTGGCTAGGCTGGTCTTAAACTCCTGACCTCAAGTGATTCACCCACCTCGGCCTCCCACAGTACTGGGAGCCACTGTGTAAGTTGTAAGCCACTGTGCCTGGCCATGATCTGATTTTAACCTCAAGAAGACAGGGCTGGGATTTGACTGAAATTAAGAATGCTTATGCCACATTGATTTTATTGTACTCTGCCTGTTGGAAGGAGCTTAACTGAAAGGAGATAGTTTCATGACATCTATAAAAAGATCATCTCAAAAGTAAGGATGTGGCCAGGCGTGTCATTGCATGCCTGTAGTCCCAGCTACCTGGGAGGCCCAGGAGGTAGAGGCTGCAGTAAGCCATGATCCTGCCATTGCACTCTATCTGGCCTGGGCAAAACAGTGAGATTCTGTCTCAAAAAAAAAAAAAAATAAATAAATATAAAAAATAAAAATGGAAGGATGTGGCCACATTTATTTAGTACTGTTCCTAGAGAGAACTGGGCTGTCCTTATCACATGTATCATGGGCCCCAACAAGATTCCCACTGTTATAGCAGGGATAACTCATCAGGGACCACCTGCAGTCAGGGGAAGAGGGAGTTCAGTTAATTGGGTTGCAAAGACATCTCAGGCAAGGGGGCGTTAATTGTTAGGTTAGATACGGGAATGTAGGTGGGGTGCAGTGGCTCACGACTGTAATCCCAGCACATTGGGAGGTTGAGGTGGGCAGATCACTTGAGGTCAGGAGTTAGAGACCAGCTTGGCCAACATGGTGAAACCCCATCTCTACTTAATATATAAAAATTAGGCCGGGCGCGGTGGCTCAAGCCTGTAATCCCAGCACTTTGGGAGGTCGAGGCGGGTGGATCACGAGGTCAAGAGATCGAGACCATCCTGGTCAACATGGTGAAACCCCGTCTCTACCAAAAATACAAAAAATTAGCTGGGCATGGTGGCGCATGCCTGTAATCCCAGCTACTCAGGAGACTGAGGCAGGAGAATTGCCTGAACCCAGGAGGCGGAGGTTGCGGTGAGCCTAGATCGCGCCGTTGCACTCCAGCCTGGGTAACAAGAGCGAAACTCCGCCTCAAAAAACAAAACAAAACAAAACAAAAGAATAACAAAAAATCCAACAAGATGTAAAGATTGAAAGGGAATATGTAAAACTGTTTTGTTTACATTGGACATAATTATCTTTGTAGAAAACCTAGTAGAATCAGTAGAAAACCTAGCAGAATCAATGAAAAACCAAGAAAAGGGTTCATTAAGATTGCTGGATAGAAAATAAATTATATTCTCCCACTAAGAAAATATTTGCAATGTTTAAAGTGGATATGGGGGTCAGACGCAGTGACTCACACCTGTAATCCCAGCACTTTGGGAGGCCAAGGTAGGGGGATCACCTGAGGTCGAGAGTTCAAGGTCAGCTTGGCCAACATGGTGAAACTGTCTCTATCAAAAATACAAAACTTAGCTGGACCTGGTGGTGCACACCTGTAGACCCAGCGACTTGGGAGGCTGAGGCAGAATTGCTTGAACTTGCAATAAGCCAAGATTGAGCCACTGCACTTCGGCCTAGGCGACAGAGCAAAACTCCATCACAAAATAATAAATGAACAAATAAGTAAAGTGCATATGGGGCTGGATGCAGTGGCTCACTCCTGTAATACCAGCACTTTGGGAGGCCGAGGCAGGTGGATGACCTAAGGTCAGGAGTTCTAAACCCACCTGGCCAACATGGCGAAACCCCATCTCTACTAAAAAATACAAAAATTAGCCAGGCATGGCCAGGTGCAATAGCTCACACTTGTAATCCCAGCACTATGGGAGGCTGAGGTGGGCAATCATCTGAGGTCAGGAATTTGAGACTAGCCTGGCCAACATAGTGAAACCCAGTCTCTACTAAAAATACAAAAATTAGCCAGGCATGGTGGCGGGAGCCTGTAATCCCAGCTACTTGCAAGGCTGAGGCTGAAGAATTACTGAACCCAGGAAGCAGAGGTTTCAGTGGGCCAAGATCAAGCCATTGCACTCCATCTTGGGTGACAGAGCGAGACTCTTTCTCAAACAAACAAACAAACAAAAGTGGCTCACGCCTGTAATCTCAGCACTTTGGGAGGCTGAGGCAGGTGGCTCACGAGGTCAGGAGATCCAGACCATCCTGAACAACATGGTGAAACCTGTCTCTACTAAAAATGGAAAGATTAGCTGGGTGTGGTGGCAGGTGCCTGTAATCCCAGCTACTTGGGAGGCTGGGGCAGGAGAATCGCTTGAACCTGGGAGGAGGAGGTTTCAGTGAGCCGAGATCGCACCACTGCACTCCAGCCTGGTGACAGATCGAGACTCTGTCGCAAAAAAAAAAAAAAAAAAAGAAAAGAAAAGAAGAGAAGAGAAAATTACCCAAGCATGGTGGCACATGCCTGTAATCCCAGCTACTTGGGAGACTGAGGCAGGAGAATCACTTGAACCTGGGAGGTGGGAGGTTTCAGTGAGCCAAGATCCAGCCTCCGTACTCCAGTAAGGGCAACAGAGCAAGACTCCATCTCAAAAAGTAATAATAATAAATAAAATAAAATAAAACAATTTTTAAAAATGTGAGTGTGTGATTAATATGCATAATATGCAGTTCCTGATGAAAGAACAAAAGTAAAGACTGGAATCCAAAATTTAAAAATGCATAAAAGGCCAGGAGCAGTGGCTCACGCCTGTAATACCAGCACTTTGGGAGCCCAAGGTGGGCAGATCAGGAGGTCAGGAGTCCTAGACTACCCTGGCCAAATGGTGAAACCCTGTCTTTACTAAAAATACAAAAATTAGCTGGACGTGGTGGCGGGTGCTTGTAATCCCAGCCACTTGGGAGGCTGAGGCAGGAGAATTGTTTGAACCCAGGAGGCAGAGGTTGCAGTGAGTGGAGATCACAGTATTGCTCTCCAGCCTGGGCAACAGAGCAAGACTCGGTCTCAAAAAAAAAAAAGAAAAAGGATATGAATAGGCATTTCAGAGAGGGTGAAGTTCTGTTGGCGAATAAGAATATGAAGTAACATTCAAACTCACTAGTAGAGAAATGCAATTTAAAATAACTGAGAGTACACTTAATATACCCATTAGAATTGCAAATATTAGAGAGTTGTATAATATTAATTGTTGGAATGAGTATGACCTAATAAGAACTTTCAGGCCGGGCGCGGTGGCTCAAGCCTGTAATCCCAGCACTTTGGGAGGCTGAGGCGGGTGGATCACGAGGTCGAGAGATTGAGACCATCCTGGTCAACATGGTGAAACCCCGTCTCTACTAAAAATACAAAACATTAGCTGGGCATGGTGGCGCGTGCCTGTAATCCCAGCTACTCAGGAGGCTGAGGCAGGAGAATTGCCTGAACCCAGGAGGCGGAGGTTGCAGTGAGCCGAGATTGCGCCATTGCACTCCAGCCTGGGTAACGAGAGCGAAACTCCGTCTCAAAAAAAAAAAAAAAAAAAAAAAAAAGAACTTTCAATAATAATGCTGAGACCGTAAACAGCTACAGACCTGGGTTTTCTTGTTCGGTTTTAGTTTTTGGGCTTTTTTTTTTTTTTTTTTTTTTTTTTTTTTTTTTTAGTGTCTATGTTATCAAGGCTGGACTCAAACTCCTGGACTCAGGCAATCCTCCCACCTCAGCCTTTTAAGAAGCTGAGAATACAAGTGTGTGCCATGCCCAGTTTACGGCTACAGACTTTCTGAAAAATAATCTGGTGCTACTTAGTAAACTTGAGTATGCATATACCTTACCACAGAAATTCCACTAAGAAGAATATGTTCTAGAGAAATTCTTGAACTGACTGACAGGGAACTATGTAAGAGATAACTGACTAGCATTGTGTGTAGAAGTCAGGAATGGGTAAGTATAATGGATGCCAACCATGGAATTCTATGCTATGCAGCAGTTATAAGCAATGAATTAGATTATATGTAGCTATAAGGATGAATCCTGAAAACTGAGTTGATCAAAAAAAATAAGCTAAACCCGCCGGCCGCAGTGGCTCACGCCTGTAATCCCAGCACTTTGGGAGGCCAAGGCAGGCAGATTATCCGAGGTCGGGAGTTCAAGATCAGCCTGACCAACATGGAGAAACTCTGTCGCTACTAAAAAAAATACAAAATTCGCCAGGTGTGGTAATCTCAGCTTTTTATAGCGATAGGATCTCACTACATTGTCTAGGCTGGTCTAGAACTCCTGGCCTTAAGCGATCTTCCCAACTGGGGCATCCAAAGTGCTGTGAAGGACCCCTGTAACCCTAAGCTGGACAATGTAGCTAAATCCTGTCTCTCAAAAAAAAAAAAAAAAAAAAAAAAAATTGGATGGTGGCAGGTGTCTGTAGTCCCAGCTACTTGAGTGGATGAGATGGGAGGTTCCTTGACTCAGGGGGCTGAGGCTGCAGTGAGCTGAGATCGCACCACTGCACTCCAACCTGGGTGACAGTGAGACCCTGTCTCAAAAATGAATAAATAGTAAAATTAGAAAGGTGAATGAGAGCTGGGATATGTAAAGGGAAGGGGAGGAATTAATGAGTAACTCCTAGGTTTCTGGCTTCTGTAATAAGAACCCCTGTGAGTGAGGGGGAAATTTTACCAGAGTTCTGTAAACTTGAAAGTGCTTTTCCAGCGGGCGTGGTGGCTCACGCCTGTAATCCTAGCACTTTAGGAGGCTGAGGCAGGCTGATCACCTGAGGTCAGGAGTTCAAGACCAGCCTGACCAATATGGTGAAACCACGTCTTAAAAAAAAAAAAAAAAAAGTGTTTTTCATTTCCCGTCCCCCAATTAGGGGTTACTCCTTTCATCTTAAGGAGGATATTCTAGGATCTCTCAGCCTCACAGCCTTGCCCACCAATAATCAGCAGGTGAGCCCTCTCTCCCAAGACCTCTAGATCTGCAAAAGGCAACCTGGAGGCAAGGAAATCCCCAGCTGTGAGTAGCCATTCAATTCTGGTGCTGTGGTAAGTGAGTTCAAAAACAATTAGTTTTGTTTCCTCTCGGTGAAATGAAGAAAACCTCACCAGACACCTCACTGGGTTCTGAGGCTCCACGGAGCACATGTTGTTAGGCTTAGTTGGATTCCCTCCAGCCCTCTCCTCCCATTTGAAGGGGCGGAGACAACGTGAAGATGTTCTCTTTGTTTATTTGGTTTTTTTAAAGACAGGTTTCTCTCTCTCTGTTGACCAGGCTGGAGTGCAGTGGCGCGACCACAGCTCACTGCAGCCTCAACCTCCTGGGCTCAAAACAATCCTCCTGCCTCAGCGTCCAGAGCAGCTGGAACTACAAGCGCATACCACTGCACTGGGACTATTATTACTTTGTTATTATATGTATTATTATTATAGAGACACGGGTGGGGGTGGTCTCACTATGTTGCCCAGGCTAGTCTCGAACTTATAGCTCAAGAGATCCTGACGCCTCGGCGTCTCAAAGTGCTGGGATTACAGGCGCGCGCCACCGCGCCTGGACGCAGAGGTTTTCTATGAGCCTCTGCAATGGCGTTCCCAAAGCTTGGAGCCATGCCTTGGTCAAGCCGGGTCGGGGGCTCGAGCCAGCCTCCAGCACCGTTAGCTGCAATCAGAACGATCAACTGTTCCCCTAATGCTGCGACAGCCCTTTCCTGGTAATAGTCTGCCTCTCTCCGGCCCCGAGCCCTCGCGAGAACACAACCGCTCCCGCGGACTACTACGCCTTTCCCTGCCGCAACACAGCCCCATCCTTTCCCTTTCCCCGCCTTCCAGCCGCGCTCCGCTCTCTGATTGGCTGATTGAGCCGAGGCAGTTTTTTTTGTTTGTTTTTTTTGTTTTTTTTCCCTTGGCCAGAAAGTGGTTCGACAACCGGTCCTTCTTTTGGCCCCTCCTGCGAAGCCCGCGGATTGGCCGGCTGAGTCCGGCTACACGCGCCTCCGCGGGAGCGCGGCCGGGCCAATCAGGAGCTTGGCGTATTTTACAAATTGGGGAAGTAGCTGCAGCCAGCAGTAGCGGAGAAGGCTGGGTCGGCCCTGAGGGCCTTTCGAGAAGGTGAGGTACAGGGTTCTTGGAGAGAACGAGAGCTGCTGGGCTCAGAGGTAGGAGGGCAGTTCGGGACCCGAGGGTGATAAAGTAGGCTCGGGGTGTCTGGACGTAGCACCCGTAAGAGCGGTCTTGCAAGCGCCGGAGGCTTGTGGGAGCGTGGATTAGGGCAGAGGTATCAGGGATGACAGGACAGGTGCCCCGAGGACTGGTTGATCTTTGATCTCCGATTCTGCCTGCCTTCCCCGTCTCGATTGCAGCCATCATGACCACCCTGCAAGCCACGAAGGATCCCCTCCCCCGCGGTGTATCTCCTACCCCTAGCAAGATTCCGGTACGGTCTCAGAGACGAACGCCTTTACCCACTGTTACATCGTGCGCCCTGGACCAGGAGAACCAAGATCCAAGGGTAAGAGGGGCCTAGTAGGGGAAGACGATAGTCACACCAGTAATGTGCCCTAACTCTAAACCCCACCTTTTTGTCCCCCCTCCTTTCCCTAGAGATGGATACAGAAACCACCGCTCAATATTCAACACCCCCACGTTGATTCAGCAGGCCCCAGGCCGAAAGCCAGGCACCAAGCAGAGACATCACAAAGATTGGTGGGGACCACTCAGCATCGAAACCCCTTGGAGGAGCTCAGGCCTAGCCCTGGAGGTCAAAATGTGGGGTCTGGGCCCCCTGCCCAGACAGGTACCTGTTGGAGCCCTGGGACCACAGCCTCCATGGCTGAGTAGGGGACTAGGAAGAGTAAAAGTGGGATTTTGGGATTTTGCACTCACTCCTGCTTACTGTAATAGCCCTGGTCCCACTTGCTGGAAAGCTCTTTGCTCTTAGAAGGCCTCCCTTTCCAGCCGGGCGCTGTGGCTCAAGCCTGTAATCCCAGCACTTTGGGAGGCCAAGGCGGGTGGATCACAAGGTCAAGAGATCGAGACCATCTTGGTCAACAAGGTGAAACCCCGTCTCTACTAAAAAATACAAAAAATTAGCTGAGCATGGTGGTGCGTGCCTGTAATCCCAGCTACTCAGGAGGCTGAGACAGGAGAATCGCCTGAACCTAGGAGGCGGAGGTTGTGGTGAGCCGAGATCGTGCCATTGCACTCCAACAAGAGCGAAACTCCGTCTCAAAAAAAAAAAAAAAAAAAAAAAAAGAAGGCCTCCCTTTCCTCCAGCAAAATGTCATCTTGCCAGGTGTGATGGCTTGTGCCTGTAATCACAGCTACTCAGGAGGCTGAAGCTGAAGGATCACTGGAGGCCAGGAGTTGGAGACCAGCCTGGGAGACAGACAGAGATCCCATCTCCTAAAAAAAAAAAAAAAAGTCACTTGTTATGAAGCCTTTTCCAGTTCCCCACATCATAATCAGTTGCTCTGTGTTCTCTTAATACTTTGCAGTACTTCTTTTTTTTTTTTTTTTTTTTTGAGACGGAGTTTCGCTCTTGTTACCCAGGCTGGAGTGCAATGGCGCGATCTCGGCTCACCGCAACCTCCGCCTCCTGGGTTCAAGCAATTCTCCTGCCTCAGCCTCCTGAGTAGCTGGGATTACAGGCAAGCACCACCATGCCCAGCTAATTTTTTGTATTTTTAGTAGAGACGGGGTTTTACCATGTTGACCAGGATGGTCTCGATCTCTCGACCTCGTGATCCACCCGCCTCAGCCTCCCAAAGTGCTGGGATTACAGGCTTGAGCCACCGCGCCCGGCTGCAGTACTTCTTTTATAACATGTATATACCTGGGCTTGAGTGTTATCTGTCTATAGTTTGATGATAGCTTCTTGAGGCTAGGGGCTTTGTCTTATTCTTTTGGGGCCCCAGTGCTTAGAATAATGTCTTATGTAGCATTCTACAAACATTTGGTGGCCAGGTATGGTGGCTCATGCCTGTAATTCCGACACTTTGAGAGGCCGAGGCAGTAAGATCACTTGAGCTCAGGAGTTTGAGACCAACCTGGGCAACATAGTGAGACCCCAACTCTATTTTCTCTCTTCTCTTCTCAAGATAGTTTCACTCTAGACCTCAGGCTAGAGTGCAGTGGTGCAATCTCAGCATACTGCAACCTCCGCCTTCCAGGTTCAAGCGATTCTCATATCTCAGCCTCCCCTCAGTACCTGCCACCATGCCTGGCTAATTTTTGGTTTTTGTTGTTTTTTATTTTTCTGAGATGGAGTCTCACTGTCACTCAAGCTAGAGTATAGTGGCACTGTGTCAGCTAACTGCAAACACCGTCTCCTGGGTTCAAGCAATTCTCCTGCCTCAGCCTCCAGAGTAGCTTGGATTATGGGTGCCTACCACTCCCAGTTAATTTTTTTTTTTTTGAAATAGAGTCTCACTCTGTTGCCCAGGCTGGAGTGCAGTGGTGCAATCTCAGCTCACTGCAACATCTGCCTCCTGGGTTCAAGCAATTCTCTGCCTCAGCCACCCAAGTAGCTGGGATTACAGATGCCCACCACTACACTCAACTAATTTTTATATTTTCACCATCTTGGCCAGGCTGGTTTTGAACTCCTAACTTCATGATCCACCTCCTTGGCCTCCCAAAGTGCTGGGGTTACAGGTGTGAGCTATTGCACCAGCCAAATTTTATATTTTTAGTAGAGACAGGGTTTCACCATGTTGGCCAGGCTGGTCTTGAACTCCTGAACTCAGGTGATCTGCCTGTTTTGGCCTCCCAAAGTGCTGAGGTTACAGGCATGAGCTACTGCACCCAGCCATCTATTTCTTAAAAAAAGAAAAAAAAGAAAGCCAAAATCAAGGTGCCTTTGCTAGGGTCCCTCTGCCCTCAGCCTTCTCCCTTCCTGTTCCTTCTCACCTTTCCTTCTCCTCTTTCCTTGCAGAGGCTCCAGGGGCCATAGAGTTTGTGGCTGATCCTGCAGCCCTGGCCACCATCCTGTCAGGTGAGGGTGTGAAGAGCTGTCACCTGGGGCGCCAGCCTAGTCTGGCTAAGAGAGTACTGATTCGAGGAAATCAGGGAGGCACCACCCAGAGGGGCCAGGTAATGAAACAGGATGTGAGGGGACCAGGCTGGGGGGCACTGAGGGGGGCATCCTGAGCTGTGCTCATGGTCCCTGTTGGCGTCCCAGGGTGTTCGGGCCTCTGCATATTTGGCCCCCAGAACGCCCACCCACCGACTGGACCCTGCCAGGGCTTCCTGCTTCTCAAGGCTGGAGGGACCAGGACCTCGAGGCCAGACTTTGTGTCCCCAGAGGCTACAGGCTCTGGTGAGTGCCCTTGAGGGATTGATACTTGGTGCTTCTGGGAGCTTCTTCCAGACACAAAGCTGGGCTCTGGGAGAGGAGGTACCTCATGATGAGGCAAGGGATCCTATGCGGGGAGATGGGGTTGGTGGTGAGGCCTGAGGGTTTGGGGTCCAGCTCTGATTCTGCTTTCATCTCTTGCTCCTGTGGATCAGATTTCACCTTCAGGACCTTCCTTTCACGCTTCCACTCGCCCCAGTTTCCAGGAGCCAAGAAGGGAGACAGCTGGCAGCAGCCGGTGAGAAAGGAGGGTGTGGGAGAAGGTTATCTGGAAAAGAATGAACCAGTGTCTGATACAGGACCCCCCCAGAGTTGGGGCCTTCTAGTAGCTTTAGGACTCCCCACCAACTCAGGAGGGGAAGCAAGGAACCTGTGACTGCCCGGGATGAGCTCTTGAAATAGGGTTCAGGCCTTCATAGCCAGGCCTCAGTGTGACATCAGTTTCCTCAAGTCACGGGGGGACAGGTAGGACAGAAATCTCTTTTTTTTTTTTTTTTTTGAGACGGAGTTTTGCTCTTGTTACCCAGGCTGGAGTGCAATGGCGCGATCTCGGCTCACCGCAACCTCCGCCTCCTGGGCTCAGGCAATTCTCCTGCCTCAGCCTCCTGAGTAGCTGGGATTACAGGCACGCGCCACCATGCCCAGCTATTTTTTTTGTATTTTTAGTAGAGACGGGGTTTCACCATGTTGACCAAGATGGTCTTGATCTCTTGACCTTGTGATCCACCCGCCTCGGCCTCCCAAAGTGCTGGGATTACAGGCTTGAGCCACCGCGCCCGGCCAGAAATCTCTTTTGTTTAGTGGCTAGAGTATAGACTGTGGAAATAAATGAGATTTGGGCTTAAACGCTAACTCTTAACACTTTTACTAGTTGTGCAGGCTTGCCTTCACCTCTCTGAGCTTTGGTTTCTTTGTCAAGTGATAATAACATTTGCACCATCATTAGAGGTTGTCATGAGAATGAAATGAGACGATGTTTGTAAAGCACTTAGCACATGCGAAGCTTATGCTTGGTACTCAGTGACTGCTGGCTACTGTCCTTATTGTCATCAGGACTTCCGTGAGCCAGGCCTCAGGATTGCTCCTGGAGACCCCGGTCTATCCTGGTGAGTGGGTCTGGCTGTGGGGAGAGCACAGCGGCAGGTGGGCTGCCTGAAGCAGGGAACAAGACCAGAGAAAGCTCAGCAGGCTGGGAGAGGACACGAGGAAGTGAGAGGCGGGGAGGCGGGGAGGCTAGGTCAGAAGGAGAAGGAGAAGAGACTTTCTAGATGGGCCAGAAGTTGGCTCAGTTGCACTTGTGTCAAAGGAGATGGTCTCCATTTCTGCCCTCTCTCTGCTACTTCCTGCAAGATTTATCTTCCAGAAAGATAAATACTGGGGATACTCGCTGTTTATCCCCAGTCCCTAAGTGCCATCACCACAATCCCAGCCTACACAGACATTCAGATTAATAAGTGTTTACTGAGATAGTGTTGGGTGTTGAGGGGCTGCTGGATGGGTTCCTGCCCCTAATAGTGCAGTGGGGGCTATTAAACTAGTATACCCTCTTCAGAAGTTGCAGAACCCTGTGCCAAACTTTGGTGGGTGTTCTAGACTCTACAACAAATGTCCTGTTTCTTCCTAGCTTTTTCTCTCCCTAAAGGAGAACATGAGGTTGTCACTCGCTCAGATGAAGGAAGTGTGTCCTCCCTTGGTCTGGCCCAGCGAGTACCATTAAGAAAAAAACAAGAAATGACACATGGCAGGGTAAGACACGACTCTCCTGGGCCGAGGGATGGGAGGTGTGGGAGGTGCCTGGGAGAATTTCGCAACAGCAGCCGACGCTGAGGGTTGTGTGTAGATCCAGGCAGTCCTGGGCCTTGGATGCTATTGGGTGAGTTTATCCCAGATGCACCCAGTCCCTCTCCAACGTGAGACTGACCTCTCTTTATCAGTTGTCTGGGGTCTGAGGTGAAAGCTCACAGACTGGTATGTATTTTTATCACCATTAGATCAGTGCTAAGGGTAAGACAGATCTGACACTTGTCAGCCATAAGCATTCATCCCTTCGCTCCACAAATATTTGCTGAGTAGTACCACCCTACTGAGTGCCAGGCACTGTTCAAGGCTCTAGACACACAGCAATAAAGAAATTCATATTCTAGAAGGGGGAGACAAGAAATAAACACATGTATAAAATAAATAGTATGTCAGCGATAAGTCCTCTGTTAAAAATAATAGTAAAAAGGCAATAAAGGGGAATTGGGAGCAGGGAAGTTGGTATTGCAATTTAAAATAGATCGGTTGCCAGGGGCGGTGGCTTACACCTGTAATCCCAGCACCTTGGAAGGCTGAGATGGGCAGATCACGAGGTCAGGAGTTCGAGACCAGCCTGGCCAACATAGTGAAACCTCATCTCTACTAAAAATGCAAAAATTAGCTGGGCATGGTGGCATGTGCCTATAGTCCCACTACTTGGAAGCTGAGGCAGGAGAATCATTTGAACCTGGAAGGCAGAGGTAGTGAGTCAAGATTGTGCCACTGCACTTCAGCCTGGGCAACAGAGCGAGACTCCATCTCAAAAAAAAAAAAAAAAAAAAAAAAAAGATTGGTCAGGGAACTGTGTTTTTGTTTGTTTGTTTGTTTGTTTGTTTGTTTTTGAGACAGTTTCGTTCTTGTTGCCCAGGCTGGAGTGCAATGGTGTGATCTCAGCTCACTGCAACCTCTGCCTTCTGGGTTCAAGACATTCTTCTGCTTCAGCCTCCCAAGTAGCTGGGATTACAGGCACCTGCCACCATGCACAGCTAATTTTTGTATTTTTAGTAGAGATGGGGGTTTCACCATGTTGGCCAGGCTGGTCTTGAACTCCTGACCTCTTGATCCTCCCGTCTCGGCCTCCGAAAGTACTGGGATTACAGGCATGAGCTACCATGCCCGGCCAGGGTCAGAGAACTCTTTTTTTTTTTTTTTTTTTTTTTTTTTTTTTTTTTTTTTTGAGACGGAGTTTCGCTCTTGTTACCCAGACTGGAGTGCAATGGCGCGATCTCGGCTCACCGCAACCTCCGCCTCCTGGGTTCAGGCAATTCTCCTGCCTCAGCCTCCTGAGTAGCTGGGATTACAGGCACGTGCCACCATGCCCAGCTAATTTTTTTGTATTTTTAGTAGAGACGGGGTTTCACCATGTTGACCAGGATGGTCTCGATCTCTCAACCTCGTGATCCACCCGCCTCAGCCTCCCAAAGTGCTGGGATTACAGGCTTGAGCCACCGCGCCCGGCTCAGAGAACTCTTATTGAGAAGATGGTGTTTAAGTGAAGACAGGGTTTCGAGGAGTGAGACATGTCGATATCTGGGGGAACGTTCCAGGCCAAGAGAACTGAAGAGGCAAAGGCCCTGGGGAGAGAATGTACCTGGTGTGTTTGAGGATCAGCAGAAAGAAGCCAGTGAGATTGAAGCAGAGTAAGGAGAGCGGTAGGAGATATGATTTTAGTGATAACACGATCAGATTGGGTAAGGACTTGTACACCAGTGTAAGTCCTTGGTTTTTCTTGGAATGAGTGGAAAGCCATGGGAGAGGGGATGATCAAGAAAGTGACATGATTCGACTTAGGTCTTAAAAGAATCACACTGGCTGCTGTAGTGAAAACAAGATATAGGAAGACAGGGGGCAGGGGTCACTCTTCCACCTTTTTCTTCTTCACAGGACAGCCTTGACTACCACCTGATGCCCTCCCCTGCCCCTGTGGCCCAGCCCTTGCCTGGCCATACAGTGCCATGTCCATCACCCTTTGGACGAGCTCAGCGTGTACCTTCCCCAGGCCCTCCATCTCTGGTTTGTGTCAACAACTCAGGGCGGGCAGGGGCAGAACAGTCTGGCTGGAGATCCTTGCTAGGTCTGGGTTTTCCCTGCTCAGCCACCCGCATCTCTCCCCAGAACTCATATTCAGTGTTGCGACGTCTCACCCTTCAACCTAAAACCCGGTTCACACCCGTGCCATCAACCCCCAGAGTTCAGCAGGTAAGAGAGGGCATGGGAAAGTGGCTGGCATAAGCCACGGCTAGGGGAGAGAGGAGATGGATGGGTACAGGAGAGAGGAGACAGAAGAAAGAGGCGGTTGAGTGCCATTTGTGGGTGTCCAGCCTTGCTGACATCTCACTTCTGTACCAGGCCCAGTGGCTGAGTGGCGTCTCCCCTCAGTCCTGCTCTGAAGATCCTGCCTTGCCTTGGGTAAGTATCAGAAGCCTCCCCATACTGAGATCCTTTGCCCTGTGCTGCCAGCCTGGAGGCCCAGGAGTTTGAGGCACGTGTGCTTTCTGGGCCAGGCATGGGATCACACCTGTAATCTCAGCACTTCAGGAGGCTGAGGTGGGAGGACTGCTTGAGCCCAGATTTTTGAGACCAGCTTGGGCAACCTAATGAGACCCTGTCTCTACTAAAAATTTTTAAAAATTAGAAAGTGCTGTCTGGAAAAGCTGCCTAACTCTCCCTGCTTCTCGGTGCCCCTCCTAATGTATGTCTAGGGCCTCTCAGGGGCTTCGATCCATTCCTCATGAGGGTGGGACTCAGGCTGGTCTTTCTCCTGCCCCAGCCTGGCTTTCTTGTGTGCCTTGTTCTTTGGTGACAGGAGCAGGTTGCAGTCCAGTTATTTGAACAGGAGAGCTCTATAAGATCACTGGAGGGGTCAGGGAAACCACCTGTGGCCACTCCTGGATCCAACTCTAACAGAACCCCCAGCCTCCAGGAGGTGAAGATGCAGGTGAGTCTGTGGGGTGACAGCTTTGATGTCTATTGAATAATAACTGGACTGGGGAAGAGGGAAAAGAGACGGAGGGTCAGGAATAGGACAGTATGAGTAGACTACTGTATCCACATCTTGATGTCACACTGGGGTGCTCTCTCCCACCACAGCGCATTGGGATCCTGCAGCAGCTGTTGAGACAGGAGGTGGAGGGACTGGTAGGAGCCCAGCGTGTCCCCCTTAGTGGAGGCTCCTCTCTGGATATGGTTGAACTTCAGCCCCTGCTGACTGAGATTTCCAGAACTCTGAACGCCACAGAGCATAACTCTGGGACTTCCCACCTTCCTGGACTGTTACAACACTCAGGGCTGCTAAAGCCCTGCCTTCCAGAGGACTGCATGGAACCACAGCCCTGCCCTCCCACAGAGCCTGGGCCCCCAGAGGCCTGCTGTAGGAGTGAGCCTGAGAAACGAGGGCCCTCCCCAAAGGAACAGCTTGAGGTACCAGAGACCTGCCCTCCAGCAAAGCCCAGGCCCCCGGAGGCCACCTGTAGGAGTGAGCCTGAGACATCAGAGCCCTCCTCCCAGGAACAGCTTGAAGTACCAGAGCCCTGCCCTCCAGCAGAGCCCGGGCCTCCAGAGTCCGGTAGGAGTGAGCCTGAGATACCAGAGGCCTCCCCACAGGAACAGCTTGGGGTACCAGAGCCCTGCCCTCCAGCAGAGCCCGGGCCCCCAGGGTCCTGCTGTAGGAGTGAGCCTGAGATAGCAGAGCCCTCCCCACAGGAACAGCTTGAGGTACCAGAGCCCTGCCCTCCAGCAGAGCCTGGGCCCCTTCAGCCCAGCACCCAGGGGCAGGCTGGACCCCCAGGGCCCTGCCCTAGGGTACAGCTGGGGGCATCAGAGCCTTGCAGCCTGGAACATAGCAGTCCAGAGTCCAGCCTACCACCCTGCTGCAGTCAGTGGGCTCCAGCAACCACCAGCCTGATCTTCTCTTCCCAACACCCACTTTGTGCCAGCCCCGCTATCTGCTCAGTCCAGTCTCTGAGGCCTCCAGCAGGCCAGGCAGGTAAGGAGTTGGCTGGGAAGGAATGTGAACATGGGAGGTCCTCATTTCACTGTGAGCTGTGCCCCTGCCCTGCCCCTACCCCTGCCGCAGGCAATCCTGCTTCCATGCCTTCCACCCTGCCCCAGCCTGGCTCTCCCTCGGGAAGAGGGGAGGAGCTGTACTTCCAGCCCTTCGCTCCCAATTGGCTTGGTCCTTGGTGGGGGAGGAGGAGAGGAAAGGACATGCTGGAAGTATAGGACCCCAGAGCCCCCTCTAAACTCTCCATGGCCCTCAGGCCCCAACAGCTTGGCCCCTCGAACCCTAGCCCTGAGGCAGCGCCTCAAAGCGTGTTTAACCGCCATCCACTGCTTCCACGAGGCTCGTCTGGACGATGAGTGTGCCTTTTACACCAGCCGAGCCCCTCCCTCAGGCCCCACCCGGGTCTGCACCAACCCTGTGGCTACATTACTCGACTGGCAGGAAGCCCTGGTGAGACTCCAACCCCCAGCCTAACTGTGGCTGCACAGTGAGCCTGATGGCAGGTCGGGGGGCAGGGGCAGGGGGCCACCTGGGCTCCTTCACATCTTTGTGAGCAGGAAGGCTTGGCTACAGTGCAAGGTTGGCTGGGCTGTGACAAGGTCTTCTCTCTCTCTAGTGTTTCGTTCCAGTTGGTTCTGCTGTCTCCCGAGGCTCTCCATCATGAGGCACCCACTCCCGTGCTGCTGTGCGTCTTCCTTTTAGCCCTTATTTATTGTCGGTCTGCCCATGGGACTGGGAGCCGACCACTTTTGTCCTCAATAAAGTTTTTCAAGTATCCACATGTCTAGCTAATGAGTTCTAGAAGTGTTCTGACAGGCCAGCTACTGTCACTCTCCCGTTGCCCACATGGTGGCAGTGTCCTCCAGCTCAGAGTCCAGCCCTGGGCTCTCAGGATCCCCTAGGCTTCCATCCAGAAGCCATCCTGAATCCTGAAAGGAAGGGAGGCATCCCACTCCTGCCTAGCCCACAGCCTTGCAAGCTCTGTGAATATGTTGGCGAGCAATTGTGGGATCCGCTCTTCCTCTCACTCCTTGAGAACAGTCCCACTTATATGCAGGAGCCTCAGGTGCTCCTTCAACCCCTAGACCTCCTCTTCTAGAACTCTGCATGCATTGGGCAGAAGAGCAGAAGCACCAGACCCAGACCTTTGGAATCTTCCCTTGTTAGTGTCACTCAGGTTGGTGTCTTCCTCCACCTACACGGTGAGGCCCTAAAGCTCTCCTGAAGCTAAGGCCCTCCCCCTTTCTTTCCATAGCAGAGTAGAAGCCTCTCCCTTTCCCGCCAGAGGCAGGCCTTGCCTGGAATTAACTAAACCTTTGCCTCTGGCAGGGACGGACAGCCCGGTAGGAGCCCTTTAGAGGAATGATGGAAAGGGCCAGCCACTTTCCCCCCAGTCTATACTCCAAGTTAAGCAGCCACACACGATCCCCCAACCTCACTTTATTGGAAGAGGCAGCAGCAGCTGTAGCCCCGGGGCCTAGCCCGGATAGGGGTGGAAAGGGGACTGTACAGAATGTGTTTTAAATGCCAGGAAAGAATTCACTGGTCCCTCCAGTTCACAGGAAGGCTGCCAAGGCTGGAGCCTGAGCCTGAAAGTGGAGATGAGGGGAGGAGGGGGTGGTGAGGGAAAGTTATCAGGACCGAGAACCTGGCTACCCTGTCTTAATGTCTTCTCTTGCTTAAATGGGCTCCTCCTGTTTCTTTTATTTCCCTCACAAGCTGCGGGGGCTTCCCTCGGCTTTCTGAGCCTCTGGCCCTTCTAGTGAAACTGCTCCCCATCTCTGTACAAAAGAGAGAGCCACGACCTCTGCCCCTCTGGGGTCCAGCGGGCACTTGGGTGCGGGTGGTCCCTCTGGAAGTCGCTCTGCTCCTCCGGCCGGGTCTCCTCCTCCTCCTCCTGGTCACATACCCTTGAGCACCAAGAGTCCGCCCATTTAGGCCGCTTCCGGGAACGAGAGGGTCCACCCCACCGGCAGGCTCTCAAAGGGCGGGGTGGCGCCTCGGGTGGGGGTGGCTGGAGGCGGGTGAGGACAGGAGCGAAGAGAGGATGGGGGGCGCGGGGCAGGGCTGGCTCAGTCAGGGTAGATGATGAAGCCGGAGAAGGTGCTGTACTTGTTGGTGTTGCCGCCGTGCACCTTCCCTCCGTCCAGCTTGATGAAGACCTCGTCGCCCACGTCCAGGTGCAGAATGACGCTGTTGCTGGCGTAGTCGTAGTTCTGGTCCGCGTCCTGAGCAATGGCGCTGGCCCGGACCTAGCAAGGGAGAACAAAACAACCCGCTCATGCTCTGTGTGGAGCTGGAGTGATGAGAGGGGTCGGGACGGCTGGGCATGCGAAGGCTGCAGGGCAGCCGCGGTGGGGGCTGGGGAGGACCAGGGAGAGTAGGACATCGTGGAGCTGCTCCGGCTCTGCCATTCACTAGCTGTGTGACGCGGGGGAAATTCTGCGCCTTTTCTGGACTTCAGTAATCCCAGCACTTTGGGAGGCCGAGGCGGGTGGATCACGAGGTCGAGAGATCGAGACCATCCTGGTCAACATGGTGAAACCCCGTCTCTACTAAAAATACAAAAAACTAGCTGGGCGTGGTGGCGTGTGCCTGTAATCCCAGCTACTTAGGAGGCTGAGGCAGGAGAATTGCCTGAGCCCAGGAGGCGGAGGTTGCGGTGAGCCGAGATCACGCCATTGCACTCCAGCCTGGGTAACAAGAGCAAAACTCCGTCTCAAAAAAAAAAAAAAAGAGGGATAATAATAGAACCCACCTCATAGGGTGTTAGGATTAAGTGAATTACATGGTGTGTCCAGAACAATGGTTTGCATTCTTAAATTAATTTTAATGCATTTTCACATTCTATTCTCATTTTAAAAATAAAAGCCACGCCTGTAATCCCAGCACTTTGGGAGGCTGAGGCAGGTGGATCACCTGTGGTCAGGAGTTCGAGACCAACCTGACCAACAAGGCGAAATCCCGTCTCTACTGAAAATACAAAAATTAGCCGGGTGTGGTGGCAGGTGCCTGTAGTCCCAGCTACTCGGGAGGCTGAGACAGGAGAATTGCTTGAACCTGGAGGCTGAGGTTGCAGTGAGCCGAGATCGCCCCACTGCACTCCAGCCTGGGTGACCGAGCAAGAGTCCGTCTCAAAAAAAAAAAAAAAAAAAAAAATTAAAATGTGCCTGTAAGATAATTTCTAAAATTCTGAACCGGCTCTGAGCTCCTCTCAGTCCTCATAGAGGGTTGGCTTCTCCGGTGGTGAGGCATAGGTGTGCCTGTGCGAGTGTAGGGTGCGGGCCGTGCAAAGGTGCACTGTTGCGCTCTCGCCTGTGGGCGAAGATTTCCCGACCGAGCACCCGCTGGTGCCCAGGCGCGGGAGTCGCCTTCTGCCAGAACAGGAAGCCCTTCCTCCCCTCCGGGCTCATGGCGGTCGCTTCGGGCCTCCTTCAGCCCCCCTCTTCCAGAGAGTCCCACAGGGACTGGTTATTAACTCATTAATTATTCATCATTATTCTAATCACTATTTACCGTCCCCAGGGCCGCAGCGCCCGCTCCGAGGAATACAGAGTGGGAGCTGCACGGTCCCCTCCCCCTCCGAAACCCGCACGCTTTAGTTTCACACTCGCCTCCCCCGCTCCTCCCAGATACCCTACATAAACCAAGCACACCTACTCGGTGTCTCAGGCAGACCGACACCACTCTACTCTCACACTTTCGCACTCAGCACTCACATACACTCCCTGACACACTCTCACCCCATGTGGACGCACACTCACTCCCTTTCCTTGGGTTCCTGCGGCAGCCCTGCTGGGATGAGACCCCAAAGCAGGTCTGGGAGCAGGCAGGCCCTGCAAAGGTATTAGGCTCCTGCAGGCTTGAAGCTCCTCGGTTACCACCACCCCCTTCACACAGGGTACTGAGGTCACCGCTCAGCCGCAACGTCCCCCTTCGGCCTGCGCAGCTCTGGTACCTTCTCCCACCCGACCCCACACCTGTGACCTCTGGTTCCCACTTTGTATGAAATTTCGTTGCTAGGGCTTAGTCCTTGGGGCTATTCCCCAGAAACAGAGGCTACAGTGACCCCAAGGAGCCGTGGAACCTGGATACTGAGAGTTTGCTATGGAGGGTGTGAGGCCTATAGGACCAAGACCGAGTCCAAGGCTTTTTTACCTGTCCCTTGCCTCTTCCTCCCGCAAATTCATTCCTTCCAGTCACCTGGCTGACCCTTGAGCTGCCAGGCCACAGACTCAGCTGAAAGCAAGGTTGTTCTAGGCCCCCAGCCTGGGGTGAGCAGGACACCTGCTTGGCAGGTGAAATGAGCAAGTGAATGTTTTCTTCCTTTTTACCTTTTCCTCAAGCACCCAAGCTAAATGCCCCCAACATGGGAACGGCTGCCGCCTTCCTACTCCTTGAGACGCGCATTCCATTCTAATTCAAAGGAGCCTAGACTCTAGTTAGCTGGTACAACGCGAGGCTGGGAGACCCAAAGGCCAGGGAGGGCCTCCGCGGAATAAAACGGATAGCCCAAGACAGGACAAGAAAAGAGGCGAATTGGCAGGGCGAGACACCAAAGACATCTGGTGTTGCCCATAGTTGCAATGCGAGTCGCAGCTGTAGAGACACACAGGTTTGAGTCCTGAGTTCTAATTCCAACGCCATTTCTACGCTCCGTGAGGCCCTAGGTAGGTGGTTTTCCTTCTCTGGGCCCCAATTTCCTCTATGGGTTAATGAAGCAATCTATCGTTCTTGGCAGCCTGGGGTTCCTGGATTCAGTGACGCCGTTTCGGGCAAGGATCTCAGGTAGTGGGATGGTGCCGAGAGATCTAGAGAGCGACCAGTTGAGCTGGGCTGGGGGAGGGGCATCTCACCTGTCCGTTCTTCATCAGGTCTGCCCACATGCTGGTGCCGTCGCCACCGCGCATGAGCACGTGGTAAGCGAAGAAGTAGACGCCTGGCATGGGGCAAGTAAACTTGCCACTGGCTGCTTCGTAAGCGTTGCCCACATTGGTCACCACGTCGTCGAAGCGCAGCACTTCGTAGCCCTCGTGGGGCCGCCGCAGGCCCGCGTAGAAAGCAATGCGAGGCACGTAGCCGGCAGGGGGCGCCACCCCGCCCGGACCTGGGCCTGGAGGGCCCGGGGGACCTGGTCTGCCGGGCTCTCCCGGCGGCCCTCTTGGACCTGGCGGCCCCGGGGGCCCCCGCAGGCCTGCTTTCCCGCGCCTGCCCACCTCTCCCTTGGCGCCCGGCGGGAAGGGGGGCACGGAAGCAGGTGCGCCGTCGGGGCCCGGGCCTCTGGGCCCATGCGGGTCACACACCATGCGGCAGCGACCCAGCATCTCGTAGTGCGCTGGCCCGCGGGAGCTGTGCACCAGCAGCGGGATGGCCACCAGCAGCAGCAGCACCATGGCCACCCCGACGGCCGCGCCCGCCACCCTCTTGCGGCGGCTCAGCCGTGACGCGGCCAGGGCCAGCAAATCTTCCTCACTCTTGGGCGCAATGGCTGCCAGGGCCCGGGGCTCTCCGCGGGCCCAGGAGGGGGTGACCCGCCTTGGGCCGGGGTCTGCACTCCCCCGACGGCTGCCCCCTGCTCCCCCTACCCTGCCTCTGCGGCCTCGCTGCTGCAGTGCCGCTCCCCGAGCCGTTAGTCGAGGGGAGCCCCCCCCCCCCCACCGTGGGCTACGTCAGGGG